CCATCATACTCTCGGATACGGGGATGAGAGTTTCTCAACGGAGTGGGTCGGATTTTCGCTGTTTTCTGGATACTGAGTAGTACTCTTTGCTTAGCTCAGTTCTTTCTTTGCCTCACTGAACTATACACCGAAAGTAGGCAAAAGTCAAGGATGAACGGGCTCTTACACGAAACCTTACATTTTCAGATCTTGAGGCTGCTGATCTTGATCATGAAGAAAAGTCAGGTGGGGTGGTGTTTTATGTTTTGGACTCAAGAATCTGAACTAGGAAAACTCTAATGACACACTAATTTACTTTTTCTTTCTATGCAGTCACTTATCCTAAGTCAGATATATGTTATTATCAGTGATTATTGTGGTTGTAATTCCATTTTGCGGCATTTCTGATGTAGCTGTTGGTTTCCTTTACAACAGTGCTGAGAATTTATCATATATAAGCTGAAGGAAATGGGGAAGATCAGCAACGATGATATTTCACTCATACTGGAAGGTTCCAAAAACTTGACGCTGATCATTCAGGAACTTTGACAGCACAGATATGATGTAACCTTCATCATCTCAAGCACAAAGCTAACTGACAGCATCTTGGTAAAGTTATAAAAAAACATATTGAGAATTTACTCTTATCACTTGATCATATTAGTGAATGAAGTCCTTAAGGATTACTCAGTCATTCCTAATTGGTCTGATACTCTTGTTAATATTTGTCATAAAGCAAAAACGTAATTTCTGTTTCCTCTGCACTGATTCTATATGATCATAAGTTACTCGAACAAACTGGAAGCATGGGGATGCACCTGCATCTGCTTGAAATTGAACGCTTACTCTCTACATTCTTTTCTTATGTTTTGAAGAGGATTAACAGCATGAGAACTGTATGATTACTTGCACAAGAAAAATTTAGCTTTGGTAGGAGAGTAATGGACATGTTATCGAATGATTTTTTATTTATTTTTCTACTTTGCAACTGTTTGATTGCTTTCAAGAAACATGATGTGATGTAACATCTATCTAAACTACCTAGGATAGTTGGGTCAAGGAAAGTGCTTCTTTTTCAAGCTTTTTTAGAGGTGCCTGGCATTCATAATTGGTTGCAACACACCAGTCACATGATTTACTTGCAAGGATACCAGAAATTGGTGCCTATATCACAACCAAATCAATCTGAGATGATAAAGCGTAGATAGGACAAACAGAGAATCAAGTGCTAACTGTGACAAGTCTACTTTGTGGTGGGTGGAAAAATTAAGGAAAAAAGTACAAGTATACTAGGATTTGGGATTTCTGCTTATATTTGAAATGGTAATTGAAGTTAAACCGGAGGATGCGTTGTAGATTTGTGGTTGACAATGGTTCGTCTTAGCTTTGCTCTAAACCTCTATGGTAGGACTTAGGAGTGATATTGTTCCAAGTGCTATCGTGGTTTCCATGGCCATCTGCTACGAAGATAGGACTATAGCTGGAAGGGCCATGGTCTCATTTCCAAGTATAAGAGAAAATTGGCTCAGAGGCACCGAGAGCCTTAATCTCTTGTCACTATGACCATAAGAGACCTTAATATGTCCTTACATTTCAAAGTTTTACCATTGGGAACTTCTATTTGCAGGTTCTAGAGATATTTATAAGATGCTTCAATTGGATTTCTAATGTTGAGAGCACAAACAGAGAGAGGCATCCTAAAAGAACAGAACTTTGGCCAACATAAAACCAGTAGTTGATGACGACTAAAGCTCTACCTCCGTCTTTAATAATTCTATTCCTTGGTCATATTCTGTGCAATTATGCTGTGCCAAACTGCCATTCATAGTGAGATCATAAACAAATGTGCTAGGAAATGCAATCTGAGAGAGATTAGAGATGAAGCTGCAATTCACATTTACCATTCTAAAGTTAACAGTTTGATTGCATTCTAGTGTTTTTACATTCATAGAGTGAGTGAAAGAAAGAGATACAACTTCCTTATATGCAGGGGAAATAGTTACAGCGATGAAATACAGTTTGAGCCTATGTATCTGAGATTGAGACATGAACCTTTTTTATTTACTCATATTTCTGAGATTCTCCAACATGCTCCGGTCGCCCTGCAACATAATCTAGGAATCCTTCACCGGCCTTTTCACCATGACCGTCAATTGCCAGATGCGAAACGCCTCCAAAGGTGATGATCAGCAGCAAGAACACAGCTGTTGACGCGAAAAGAGGCCAAAAGTATGTCAGAATGGTGAGCATAGAGGGGCTGCATATGACAACACGCCAAGAATTAAAGAACCAACAGCTACTAAAGTGAGGTGATATTTTATTGATAAGCTTTGGTGAAATGTTATCCATGGCCTCTCTTAGGTTAAGAAGATTGCAACTCAATTAGAAAGGTAGTTACTTCTCTATTTAGCAGTTGTATGTTGAGAGTGATGAGGTTTCATAATTTTTTTCAATTGTTTTGTCTTTCCTCTAAAAGTTTCTTGAGAGATTCCTCTTGTTTCCTAACAATCCACCTCCAATTTTGTCCATGTTTCCCCAATTACCAAAACACCCTCCATGCAAGAACATACACCCAGATATTCCACTTCGATATAGCTACACAAATTTGTTTTGGGTTTCATGCAAGCGAGACTTAGGTTGAGATAAAAAGTGATTACTATATAAAATAATGTTATGCTATAACTGAGTCATACAACATATAATAACGTAAGAAGAGTAACTTTTATACTGAATTTCGTGTAATTTTTGTTTGTTGTATGATTCAGTTGTAAGTATAAATTATTTTTACTAATTATGTGTGTGTGGTATTTTTTGGAAAAAAAAATGGGGCAAATTGGTGGGATGGCACAATGGTCATTACAAGAAACCAAAGGAATGTTGTGGTATAAATTCTTTGTCCACTTCTTGGATTGGTCGGTTACTTTTGAAGAAGTGGGTGCTTATCATGTGAAATTAAGATGAGGACTAAAGGAAGGCATAACTTCTTTTTCTCAATGTGGTAATGAAGTTGATGAAAGATTAGCTAATTAATCTATTCTTTTGATTCTTGGCTTATTTTTCGTCATTCTTTTGGGTGCTTAGTGATGGGAAAAGCATAACTTTGCCGGGGACTTTCGGAAACTTTTCAATTCTTAATCTTCTCCCACTAATGGATTCTACACAGTGTCTCTCAGGATTAGTTGAAATACGCGTAAGTTGGCTTAGACACTTGTGGTCACAAAAAAAAAAAAAAATACAACAACATTTGGTAGATTGTGTTGTATTACCGAAGGGTAATGTTACCTTATATGAAATATCAGGTCATATTTATATTCAGGTTGGAATCCTTTAACTTAAATGTGTAACAAAGTTTTAATCGTTTATCGATTACAGAGTTGATGAGGTGACAATAAAATAATTACTTTCAACTTCTATCTCGTACTCTTTGATTGTAATAAATTATGTTCCATTCAAGTCATAAATTTAAGTTAAAAGGTCTCATCCTTTTATATCCACGTTAATTATTAGTATTTTTGTCATATATGTATTAATGTGATTTTTTAAACAGTTGGATTAGTACTTGAAATTAATATGAGTTTTTTTTTTTTTTTTTTAATATATACGGGTACCAAAATTACCAATAAAATATTTAGTATTATTAAAATGTAACTTGATAACTTATATATATAATAATACATTATTTTAACAAACTACAATAAAATATTATATTAATAAATTATTTATAAACAAATATATTAATCAAATATTCAACACAAATATCAAGGTCAAAATACTCTACCAAACACATATTCTGAAAATCCTATTCTCGTAATCATAAACCTATCCAACTATCCAATACTATCCCCAAAATCTTATCCAAAATACTAAACAAAACGCACCCGATAATAATAATAATAATAATATATTATTATTATTATTATTATTATTTAAATAAATTCCTTTAACCCCATATATTTGAGAATTTAGCTAAAACACCCCTAACAACAAAGTTTAAATTTTAACAAAATACCCTCAGCCACTCAAGACTACTACTGACCGTCGGCCACAAGCGTCAGTCACCAAAACAGTGCACGACTGACGAGATTAGGGTAGCCGTTTTGGCTGTTTTTAGCTAGATCGAAGACTAAAAACAGCTAGATCATTGTGGATCTAGCCGAAAACGGTCAGATCTAGGGCAATCTGGCTGTTTCCAACTAGATTCACCCTGATTTGACTATTTTCAGCCAGATCGAAGGCAAAAAACAGCGTGATTGCCTAGATCAGGTCGAAAACGGCCACAAATGGCCGATCTATTTTGGCCAGATCCACGACTATCTGGTCGTTTCCGGCCTTCAATCTGGCCGAAAACAGCCAGATCAGCGCACGGCTGGCTAAATCTCGCCTGTCATGCGTCAATCTGGCGATTATTGCCGGTGGTCGATAGTGGTCTTTGGTGGCTGGGGGTATTTTGTTAACTTTTAAACTCTTTGTGGCTGGGGTGTTTTAGCTAAATTCTAAAATGTAGGGGGTCTAGGTTATTGTTATTTGGTAGACATTTGAGGGTAATTGTGTTCAGAATGGTATTTAATTAAGGACAAAATGGGTATAAAATTAAGATTACCCCAATAATATTTAAATATCACCCTCTAAGGAGGTAATCTGATTACCCTCTATTTAACCTATAGTAATCACTATTGGTATTAAAAGATTACCGAGATCTTTTATTATTTGACAACCAAACAAGAGAATGTCTGGAATTAAAAATAGATTACCGGAGTTATCTTTTCAGAGTTCTAACCAAACACACCCAAAATGTAATTCCCATACTTGAATTCCGGATAACCTCTAACTCTATTTCGGTAACTCCACCACATTAAACCCGCAAATATACTATAAAGATCTCATGGTCGCATTATTCCACATAATACTCCATGTAACTTTGACACAAATTAAAGTTGATCAGATTTATACGGTGGTTAGTTTATAATTTTAATATCAATATAATTTATCTAGTGCGGACCGTTGAGATCAAAGCATGCAAGCATTTCACTTACGTTAATGTTGGCCAGATTGGTTCACATTCTTAGGGGTAATCATATGGCCACTTGGACACAATCCGCCGACTTTCCCGCTTCCCCTGGCTCCTTTGTGCTAGATTTTCATTGAGTACTACTTTACAGGACAAGAACCATCAACTCATCAGGTATGATCTTAGAATACCTTTTTTGTTTTCTTTCAATTGCGAATTGGGTTTTTTATTGGATGATTTGATTAATCAAATGGTTGAATGTTTGTGAATATTGTCGTTTGATTTATATGATTTCCAATGTGATGTGCCCAGAAGAGCAAGTCTCATGTTAGTTTTGTAGTTTGGCTTGTGGGTTTCGGTGTAGATGTGATTGAGGGTGAAAGAATTGATAATCTTGGATTATAATTAGCAGAATTTTTACTGCTTGATAATTTTATTATTTATGTTCTGTAGGCAATCATGTTCTGATGGCTCAAGATGATGCTAGACAGTCTTTGCTTTCCAGAAATGGGGTTCCTGCTAATTTCAGTGGAAACACAGCTCTCCAGAGAAGAAAATCTTGGTGTGGTGAGACCAGTGCACTTTTAAATAAGTCTATCTCCCTGGGGGAAAATAATATTCAGTCTCTTCTACGTTCAGGATCTTCCATAGATCAACAGGAAATTAGGTTCAAGCAAGTGTTTGTCTTGTTAGTGGCTTACCTTGGAGCGGGGACAGTTTGCTTTTACCTCGTTCGGCATCAGATTGAGGGTAAGAAAACAAATGGGATTTTCGATGCCATGTACTTCTGTGTTGTGACAATGACTACTACTGGATATGGGGATCTTGTGCCTCGTAGCACGTTGGCGAAGTTAATTGCCTGCATTTATGTTTTCACTGGCATGGCTCTTGCTGGGTTCACTCTTGGTAAGGCAGCAGATTACCTTGTTGAGAAGCATGAAATTCTTTTTGTTAAGGCAATGAGCAAGATTGAAAAGGTTGGTTCAGCTGAGATTCTTAAGGAGGCTAAGGTCCACAAAGCCAAATACAAGTTTTTGATGTCTACAGTAATGCTGTTGGTGCTTATAATTGTGGGAATTCTCTTCCTAATTCTCGTTGAAAAATTAAAACCTGTTGATGCTTTTTATTGTGTTTGTTCCACCATCACTACTCTAGGATACGGGGATGAGAGTTTCTCAACTGGAGTGGGTCGGATTTTCGCTGTTTTCTGGATACTGAGTAGTACTCTTTGCTTAGCTCAGTTCTTTCTTTGCCTCACTGAACTATACACCGAAAGTAGGCAAAAGTCAAGGATTGAACGGGCTCTTACACGAAACCTTACATTTTCAGATCTTGAGGCTGCTGATCTTGATCATGACAGAAAAGTCAGGTGCGGGTGGTTTTTATGATTTTGGACTCAAGAATTCTGAACTAGGAAAACTCTAATGACACACTAATTTACTTTTTCTTTCTATGCAGTCACTTATGCCTAAGTCAGATATATGTTATTATCAGTGATTATTGTTTTTGTAATTCCATTTTGCGGCATTTCTGATGTATGCTGTTGGTTTCCTTTACAACAGTGCTGAAGAATTTATCATATATAAGCTGAAGGAAATGGGGAAGATCAGCAACGATGATATTTCACTCATACTGGAAAGGTTCCAAAAACTTGACGCTGATCATTCAGGAACTTTGACAGCCACAGATATGATGTAACCTTCATCATCTCAAGCACAAAGCTAACTGACAGCATCTTGGTAAAGTTAATAAAAAAACATATTGAGAATTTATCTCTTATCACTTGATTCATATTAGTGAATGAAGTCCTTAAGGATTACTCAGTCATTCCTTAATTGGTCTGATACTCTTTTTAATATTTGTCATAAAGCAAAAACGTAATTTCTGTTTCCTCTGCACTGATTCTATATTGATCATAAGTTACTCGAAACAAACTGGAAGCATGTGGGATGCACCTGCATCTGCTTGAAATTGATCGCTTACTCTCTACATTCTTTTCTTATGTTTTGGAAGAGGATTAACAGCATGAGAACTGTATGATTACTTGCACAAGAAAAATTTAGCTTTGGTAGGAGAGTAATGGACATGTTATCTGAATGATTTTTTATTTATTTTTTTCTACTTTGCAACTGTTTGATTGCTTTCAAGAAACATGATGTGATGTAACATCTAACTATCATAACTACCTAGGATGGTTGGGTCAAGGAAAGTGCTTCTTTTTCAAGCTTTTTTAGAGGTGCCTGGCATTCATAATTGGTTGCAACCACCAGTCACATGATTTACTTGCAAGGATACCAGAAATTGGTGCCTTATATCACAAACCAAATCAATCTGAGATGATAAAGCGTAGATAGGACAAACAGAGAATCAAGTGCTAACTGTGACAAGTCTACTTTGTGGTGGGTGGAAAAATTAAAGGAAAAAAAGTAACCAAGTATACTAGGATTTGGGATTTCTGCTTATATTTGAAATGGTAATTGAAGTTAAACTGGAGGATGCGTTGTAGATTTTGTGGTTGACAATGGTTCGTCTTAGCTTTGCTCTAAACCTCTATGGTAGGACTTAGGAGTGATATTGGTTCCAAGTGCTATCGTGGTTTCCATGGCCATCTGCTACGAAGATAGGACTGATAGCTGGAAGGGCCATGGTCTCATTTCCAAGTATAAAGAGAAATTGGCTCAGAGGCACCGAGAGCCTTAATCTCTTGTCACTATGACCAATAAGAGACCTTAATATGTCTTTACATTTCAAAGTTTTACCATTTGGGAAACTTCTATTTGCAGGTTCTAGAGATATTTATAAGAGGCTTCAATTGGATTTCTAATGTTGAGAGCACAAACAGAGAGAGGCATCCTAAAAGAACAGAACTTTGGCCAACATAAAACCAGTAGTTGATGACGACTAAAGCTCTACCTCCGTCTTTAATAATTCTATTCCTTGGTCATATTCTGTGCAATTATGCTGTGCCAAACTGCCATTCATAGTGAGATCATAACAAAATGTGCTAGGAAATGCAATCTGAGAGAGATTAGAGACTGAAGCTGCAATTCACATTTACCATTCTAAAGTTAACAGTTTGATTGACATTCTAGTGTTTTTACATTCATAGAGTGAGTGAAAGAAAGAGATACAACTTCCTTATATGCAGGGGAAATAGTTACAGCGATGAAATACAGTTTGAGCCTATGTATCTGAGATTGAGACATGAACCTTTTTTATTTACTCATATTTCTGAGATTCTCCAACATGTTCCGGTCGCCCTGCAACATAATCTAGGAATCCTTCACCGGCCTTTTCACCATGACCGTCAATTGCCAGATGCGAAACGCCCCAAAGTGATGATCAGCAGCAAGAACACAGCGTGTTGACGCGAAAGAGGCCAAAAGTATGTCAGAATGGTGAGCATGGGGCTGCATATGACAACACGCCAGAATTAAAGAACCAACAGCTACTAAAGTGAGGTGATATTTATATTGCATAAGCTTTGGTGAAATGTTATCCATGGCCTCTCTTAGGTTAAGAAGATTGCAACTCAATTAGAAAGGTCATACTTCTCTATTTAAGCAGTTGTATGTTTGATGATGGATGGTTCATAATTTTTTTCAAATTTGCTTTGTCTTTCCTCTAAAAGTTTCTTGATAGATTCCTTTGTTTCCTAAACAATCCACCTCCATTTTGTCCATGTTTCCCCAATTACCAAAACACCCTCCATGCAAGAACATACACACAGATATTCCACTTCGACTATAGCTTACACAAATTTGTTTTTGGGTTTTCATGCAAGCGAGACTTGAGATGAGACTTAAAAAGTGATTACTATATAAATAATGTTATCTTATAACTGAGTCATACAACTATCTCAATTATATAAAAAACGTAGAACAGAGTAGTTCATTTACATGATTTCGTGTATTTTTTGTTTGTGTGATTAATCAGTTGTAAGTATAACTTATTCTTACTACTATTATGTGATGGGTATTTTTGGGAAAAAAAAAATGGGGCAAATTGGTGGAATGGCACAATGTCATTACAAGAAAACCAAAGGAATGTTGTTGTATAATCTTGTCCACTTCTTGGATTGGTCGGTTACTTTTAGAAGTGGGTGCTTATCATGTGAAATTAAGATGAGGACTAAAGGAAAGGCATAACTTCTTTTTCTCAAATGTGGTAATGAAGTTGATGAAAAGATTAGCTAATTAATCTATTCTTTTGATTCTTGGCTTATTTTTCGTCATTCTTTTGGGTGCTTAGTGATGGGAAAAGCATAACTTTGCCGGTGGACTTTCGGAAACTTTTCAATCTAATCTTCTCCCACTAATGGATTCTACACAGGTCTCTCTCGAGATTAGTTGAAATACGCGTAAGTTGGCTAGACACTTAGAGTCACAAAAAAAAAAAAAAAAAAAAAAAAAAAATACAACAAATTTGATAGATTGTGTTGTATACCGAAGGGTAATTTACCTTATATGAAATATCAGGTCATATTTATATTCAGGTTGGAATCCTTTAACTTAAATTGTTAACACAAAGTTTTAATCGTTTATCGATTACAAGAGTTGATGAGGTGACAATAAAATAATTACTTTCAAGTTCTATCTCGTATCTCTTTGATTGTAATATTATGTTCCTATCCAAGTCATAAATTTAAGTTAAAAGGTCTCATCCTTTTATATCCATCGTTAAATCAATCCAGAAGTATATACGAATATACGAATACGAGGTAACGGTACAGGTGTCCGAATAACCACCAGCAAAAGGAAAGTTGTTTGGGTCTAACAATTGAATCGCCCACAGGTGCAAGACCACCCCAACAGCAATCTGAAAATTGAAATTGAAAGAGAGCTCACTAAACTTATTTTTTTTTTTTTTTTTTTTATTTAAGTAAGATTCTCTTAATATGATTTTAGCTATACAAAATCTAAAATTCGGATTAATGTACTAAAAAAAAGGAAAAAACAACTAAAACAAGTCTATATATATTATATATTATATATATAATCAAGACCGTTATGATACAATTATCGGTTAGATTCACTCGTTGGACTGAAATGATATTGTAGTATAATTATAACAATAAATTTAGGTTTAAATTAAATGTATTTATTTATAGATTACCACTTACCTACTCAAATAAACAAGGAGCACACAAAGAACTTGATCCCACTTCCCATCACTATCAAACTATTATTAGTGAGAATTCAATAAGGATATGATTATAATAAAAAAAAAAAACCCATATTTAATTTAATTTAATTATTACCTTAATTAATCAAATCCTCCTTTGACTCTTTTGGTGCTATCTGGGTTTGTTGTTGGTGTGAGGGAAGAAGATAAGAGTCTTGCTTTTGTCATCTACCCAGAAAACCTTCAAGAATATTGCCAATTGGCAAAGTGCTTGATAAAAAACACTTATAACATAACAGCTGGAGCTTCAATTTTTATTAATTATTTATATATTTAATGATGAATATACTTAGCTTTAAATTAATTTACTTATATGTTTTTTCTTAAAGCCACTTTTAGTTTGTCACTTTCATTGAACAAGTCCTCAATTCAATTATATATGTATGCTTAAGTGGCTTCCACTAAGTTAATTTGTGTGCTTGGTTTAAGCATATTTTAGCGGTTAACAACTGGGATTACTCCAAAACCAGAGCTTTCTATCAACAACAATCATATTCTAATTAAAATTTCTCTTAATATGCTAATATTATTGTTCATGGACCATGGTTGTTTAATATATTATTATCTCAAAAGGAAAAAACAACCCATAAAAGCAGATAAACATTTCTTTCATTGACGCAATCCTTTTGACAATCTTATCATTAAAATCATGGATTAAGTTTAAGACCCTTTTTCTTTTTTGTATAGTTTCAATATAACCTACCATCTCTCACTTTCATCCCCTCATCAACACAAACAAAACCCTAATTAATCAATGGGTTTTAGACTTCTCGAAGATTTATTATAATCTCTTGTTATAGTGGGTTGTTCATTGCATATTTGTTATATAAGTTGGTATAGATGACTTTCGGATGAATACGCCTACAATAACTAGTTCGAAATTGTCTCATATGTGAACATCTTAAAATTATAATGTACAAACTTGTATAATCGATAGTTTACTTAGAAACTTAATTCTTGTTGGTTTTTTTTTGTTGGGGTGATTAGGGTGTACAGTCAGTTTGAGCGCACCTCAGTTAACTCCGAAGCTCTAAAGTTACGGTCGGTAATCTTTCAGTGCTACCTTATAGCAATCAAGGTGAATCGAATTCAGGATCTTTTGAGTACTACCACTCGACCCACCCAAGCGTGGTTATTCTGTTGGTTGTTCTGATGATATTGAGTGTGAGAAACATATAACATAAGATATCGGAAATTTTCAGATGGGATTTTTAACTGAGGTTTTTAACATGCTGTAAACCTGCTAACCTTTGTCAACTTAGAGTTGAGTATATATAAGAGATTCAACATGAAGATTTGGGATGAAACCGTTGAGATAAGGGGGTGGTTTATGATGTTATCAGGTGAGAAAAATTTGAGTTTAAAAGATGATATCATGCAATAAAAAGACGTAACCGTTACTGTCAAGATAAGAGCCGACTAGGCCGGCTCTAATGATTACTTTCAAATATTGCTTCATAGTAAGGGAAGATCCTTCCCTCTTTGCGGTCAATTCCTTAAAGGGATGGACTCTCTCTTGTTCCACACTAAACCCTCTTATAAACCCCCCACCTTCAGCTCGTTTTATTGTAGTTTTGTTTTGCCCATTCATTCTTTATTGTTGCATTAGAAAACTAAGCTTGCCAAAAAGTAACCAAAAAGATGTTGGTTTTGAAGAAGTTAAACTTGGGGGAGTTAAGAGCTCTCTCTTGTTCACCCTGACCCTGTTGTGTTGGAACTCAATCGTTTGCAGAACCACCTCAAAGGTTTGTGCATGTCTCTCTCTTTTGATTCTTAGAAGTTTTTTT